CATGTCATCCTTGTAGAGGATGGAGATGGGGCTCAGTTTGGTGGGCACACAGCAGGCCTTGCCCACCTTCATGGGGAACTTGAGATGCACCAGGGTCTTCACGATGGCATGTTTTGTTGGGGTCACATCGTCAGCCAGGGGGAAGAAGCAGCCACCTTTACATTCAAAGGCATCATACTCCTTGGGTGCAATGATCCAGCTGTCCCAGCCGATGTCCTCGAAGTTCACCCGCAAGGAGGTCTTCTGACAGTGATTGTTGGCCCCAGCACTCCTCTTCCGTCTGACCAAAGATGACTCCTTGGGCGTGTGGCTTTGCACATCCTCCTCCTCCTCATCTTTGTTCTCACCTGCCTCCACTGCAGTGCTCTTGGACAACTTCTTGAGCACACTCTCCTGCTCGTGGCCGATCATCTCCCTGAGCTCCAGCCTGGTCTCCTTAGTCCCGTTGCTGTGGTCGTTGGAGAAGACGACAAAGAAGGGCAGGTTTTTGGATCCTGGGGGGACACTGATATCCAGCTTGTCACAGCCCTTCCTGTGACTCTCCACTGTCACTTCCAGTTTATTTTTGCTCTTGGTGGAGTCTGCCCGGACCCACCGCTTCACGGCACTGGACACCTCAAAGGTCTCCCAGCCCTCATCCCGGATGTCTTGAGACACCAGGAAGGTCTTGGTTCCCCCAGGAGCATCCCAGACCTCAGCTCCATCCAGAACGTCATAAATGACCATGTTTCCTTTCAGCTCATGAGAGGAGTCCATGTGACTCTGACAGGAGAGGTAGAGTCGGAGTTCGGCCCTGGTGATCTGCTCATGCCTGGGAATGGAAATATTGAAGAGCAAGATGTGCTTCTGGAAAGGGAAGTCTTCTGTGGTGGCTATAGAGACAGCATCTGAAATGCAAATATACAGTCGTCTGCTGGGAGGGTCTGTTTTCACAATACCAAACCTGAGACTCATGATTTATATGAAAGGGCACTGGGCATGACACTATCTCTAACAAGTCTCTCTTTGGTTTCACTCAAGACCTTAATGTAGTAGGGTATTTAAAAGATACATTTGACATCTTCCAAAGAAAAACAGAGTCAGGAGATGTCTTGCATTGAAACTGACAGCTCCAGCTGTTTACTGAGCATCTAACATATGCCCACTTTTGCATACTGTATTTTAACTTTCTCTTAATATTGACCCAAGGAAGATCTAATTATTATTATTACACTTTTACAGATGTGGAGACTTGGATTTAGCGTGTGTAGCTGCCAAAGTGCACACATCCTGTAAAGATCCTCACTTAAAAAAAAAAAATAAAAGAACCAAATAAACAAAACGTCAAAGCACACTATCAGCCTCAGAGTGCAAATCCTGAGTATAAAATATTAAAGGAGAGATCCTGTGAGGGGATGGTGAAATTTTATTACTACAGTGTTAAAAATATCACCTAAATCATGTAGAAAATTATTCAGAATTGTAACTTATGAGCAAAATGAAGGAAGGTGGTTTTTTTTATTTTTAATGTGTGAGGAAAAAATAGATTAACCTCAATGGCTTGGTCATGTTAGACATACATGGAGCTTGCCTTTTAGCCACAAAACTGTCTCTCTTCCCACTTTCCTGGCTGACTCTCAGCCATTAGCACATCTCTATTATACCATGGCCTGGTCACAGCAGGGAAGAAAGTTGTGTTTTTTGAGCATCTACTATGTGCCAACATGAGGGGAGACTGTGTGCTGTCATAAAACCTGGAAGCATCTGACAGTCTAAAATTCCAATCCTGACTCTCCCTCTTCTAGGCTTATGAACGGGAAGAAGTCCTGAGTTTCTCTGGGCCTTAGTTTCCTCATCTGTAGAATGGGGCTCCATCCTATCACCTTCCCAGGGTTGGTGTGAAGCTTTGACAAGAAGGCACATGAAACCTGCCCAACACTGTCCCTGGTTCACAGCAGATGCTCAGTCAGTACTCCTATGTCCTCCCCAGAAACTGTGCATGCTCCATGTTACCTGTGCATGCCCCACCCCAAGCACATGGCCGTTCACACAGCTCTGTGTGCCCTCACTCAGCATGGAGTGCTGTTCTAGTTTCTGTACCGTGTGTTAAGCCCGCTGTGTCATATGCGAGTAGTGAGTGGGCATGTGCAGGGCATTAGCTACTGGCTATGCTCTGTGGCATGCCTTGAAAATTGCCAAGGGACCACATCAGATATCTAGAGAACAAGTGCTCTCTCTGCCTCAGCCACACTCAGGCTGTTTGTGATGATGATCACTGCCTCCACAGCAGTACTGGCCACAGGCAGAGCTGGGGTCAGATCAGAGCACTTGCTTCTGGGACACAGACAATGCTGGGGGTAGGGGAGCAGGGAGGGGTCACTGAGATGGCTCCCAACACTGGACTCCCAGACTACAGGATTTGGTGATTAGGGTCAGCCAAAGAAGCTCAGCCTTTCCCTAAAGCAGGGGTTACAGTCATGTCCCATGGGCATACTGTGATGCTGGCAGTATCTATATTACCTGCAGACTGCATTAAAGAAAAATTAAACCCACCTTTTAGAAATAAGACAGGTCCACATTAAACCTAGATTTTTGTTTTCCTTTGGGGCCATCAGGGGCCTCCTTGGTGGCTCAGATGATAAAGAATCCGCTTGCAATGTGGGAGTTCTGGGTTCGATCCTTGGGTTGGGAAGATCCTCAGGAGGAGGGTGTGGCAACCCACTCCAGTATTCTTGCCTGGAGAAACCCCATGGACAGAGGAGTCTGGCAGGCTACAGTCCATGGGGTCACAGAGTCGGACATGAGTGGGCAACTAAGCACAGTACAGAGGCCATTGGACAATACAGCTTTGCCAGGCACACAGCGTGACTGCAGCATCTTTTCGACAGGGCATATGGTTAGGAGTCTGCAGGCCTCAAGCTCAGGAGGGAAGGAGTCCTGTGTGCCTGGCTAGTTAGAGGCTGCAACTGCAGAAAAAGCCTGAGCTGTGCAAACAGGTAGGACTGGGTCAAAATCCAGCTGCTTAACTAATATGTGAACTGGGAAAGTTCCCCCAGGGTCTGCAAGCCTTGGCTCACTGCTCACAAGATCGTGTCACCTACATGGTGTGAATTAGAGGACATAAGCCCTAAGTTGACATTCGTTATCTTCTAGTCCTACTAAATCAGGGAAATTATTTTATACTTAGAAAATAACTATGTTGCCTTCCAGTGTTACTCAGAGAAATTAACTGAATTTTAAACACCTTTTGATGAGTGAGAAACGCAGTCTTTCAGTATTTAAAAAGACACCTGTTAGTTAGAGGCTAAATAAGTTGTCTGTGTATAAGTAGGAAGGAGACAGGATGGGAAGGGTGGGGTAGGGAAGGGATGGAAGAAAACGAGCAGGCATTCCTTCAGCACCTACTGTGTTAATGGGGTGCTGGGCCCAGAGAGAGAGAATTTTCTAGAGCAGAGCTGTCTGGTAGAACTTTAGGCAACCATGGAATTGTTCTACAGTCTCCATTTCCTATAGGGTAGCTAGGCGTGATTGCTGAGCACTTGCATCCAAGCTACTGAAACTAACTAAATTATTAATTTTATTTCATTTAAATTAACCTAAGCTGAAACAAAGAGTCCCATGTCTCAAGTGGCCGCCATATTGGGCAGCGCAGCCATGGACAGACCACTGAGTCCCCCCGCCCCCACCCGGGGCGCCCGGTGGAGCCGACTCTACCTTCCACGCTGAAGCTGCGCACAATGTTTGATGCAGGGGTGGACGTCTTGTCGGTGGTGTATCTGTTGTATAGATCGATCATGTATTGCGGTGGCTCAGCTCGGGTTCTGTCCTGAGAAGGGACCCCACTCAGGTTGAGGTTGCGCAGAAAATCCACCTTCATGTTCTCCAGGAACATCCTCAGGTCGAAGGTGATCCCCTCCTGCTCGCCGCCGGGCCCCCCTAGCAGGCGGTGGGCATCTCCCCCAGTGGATGGCCGCCCCCGGTTCTCCAGGGGCTTCCCTAGGGCGGAGCAGGCCAGTAAGGACAGCACAGGCAGGGCCATCCAGAGCGCCCCACAGCCCATCTTGGGATGCTCTCGCCCTGGTTTGGAGACTGCGGCAGCCGCAGTGTGTTAGCGGGTGCCGGGAGGAGCCCGGAAGGAGCCGGCTTGCATTGTCCTGCCCACAGCTCTGTACGGCGCACCCGGGCCAGTTCACAGGCTCTCACCCTTCTGCTGTCCCCGAAGTGCCCTCCACTTGTTCTTATCTGGCCCTTGATGCTGTTCAGGCCTCTTATCTAAGGGGGCTCTCTGTTAATGAAGGCTCTATAAACATCTGACAAACACACAGGGCTAATGGGAAGGACACAGCCTGCTGCAAAGAATCCGAGTTTCTCCTTGGGGTTATCGCCCCCTAATTAGGATGGATCCTTTCTCATTTCCTTGCCAGCTCTCAGAAGAATCTTGAGACAGGGTGACATATGCTCCATCTCCTGGGCCACAGAAACAAAGAATCCAGGAAAGAAATAAGACCCCAAAGTCCTCCAAATATGGAAACAACAGCACAAAACTCCCAGAAGCCCCTGGGCTGACCACTGGGGTGGGGTTGGGGGGTTAGTAAGAAGCCTGGTTCCTGTGGAACTGGAATGTGCATCTGTGGCTCAAGTACTTGGTGCCTTGGTCTCTCATCTGTCAAGTGAGTTCCTGAGTCTTAGAGATCATGGGTAAAGGTGGCACATATAATTTAGTGAGGTGGTAGAGACTTTGGAGTCAGACCAGATATTAGTTCAAATCCCAGCTCGTTCAGCTGTTCTTACATGCATGACCTGGAGCAAGTCGTTTCACCTTTCTGGGCCTCCACTTCAGAAGAGGACTTAAGTAAGGACTTAAGGTAATAAGTGCTAACCATCATGGCAGTCACTGCAAGCCCCAGTCGGTTGGGTGGTTACATTCTGCCTGCAGCTTCTCTACCCTGGGTCTGACTGAATGGGAGCTTGGGAGGAATCCCCAGAGGCCCTGCACCTGCCTGGCCTGCTCTCTAAAAACATCACTTACACACCAAGGCCTCCTGGCCCTGGCACCCAAGTACAGCTCTGTCACTGGTCTGGGGGTGATGGTGCGGTCTTGATCTCATATCATCCGGGCGGTTGCCTGGGCCGTACTTGTCAGTCAGGAGAACCATGTAATCTGGGAAACAATGGAGCAGGGAAGCACTGAGTCCAGGGCATGCCCAGGAGATGTTCCCCTGCCTGAAGAAGCTGAGAAACTGGCCCAGTTGAGCTCTGCTAGGCTTCAGGGTCTGTGTTATTTTAAGAACTGCAGGCCCACACTTAGATCTGTCCATTTCCATTGCATGTGGGTTTGACCATAGCAAAGAATAAGCATAAAATATTCTGGGAGTCTACTGTGAGGAGGATTTAAATGTGAGGTTTTTCCAAGCTGATGAGGCTTCTGGAGGGGGTGGTGCAGTGAGCTAAGCAGATTCAGGAAGATGAACAAGGGGCCAGAGCGGGCAGGGTCAGAGATCCCGGGTGTGCATCCAGCTTTTCCCCACCCCTAGTGAGGGTGGGCTGAAACCAGGAATCCCCAGTGGCCAGGCCTGGACAGAACTTGCTGTCCCTGTCCTTTGGGGACACTGCCAAGGAGGATGGATGGGAAGGGTGCTGTTTCAGAAGGGCTGCTTGCAGAGCGGGTAGGAAGCATGCTGGGCTTTGAGCCAACTCAGCTCAAGAACTCCGAGGCAGGGGAAAGATGAATGGGTGCACAGCCCCCAGAAGTGGGGCTGCAACTTTCCAGCAGGGAGTGGGCTGGGAGGGATTGGGGAGCTAGGCAGGCACCCCCCAGGCTGCTCCAGTCCCTGGAGGCAGCCCAGAAGCCTGTCATGTTCAAGAGGCGGAGTCAGGGGCTCAGGGGGTGGGGGTGGCCTGAATGTGCTCTTGAAGCCGGAGGAGCTGCTCTTCGATGTTTTCTTAAAAACATGACAGATTGCTATTCTGATGATAAGAGTACTAAATATAGTGCAGATATTTTGGAAATGCAAAGCATTAGAAAGAATGTAAAAATAACCTGCAGTCTCACCATTTTGAGATATATGCAGCTCCACAATCCCCTATTTAAAACTCTTGTGTCTGGGAGGGTTTTGAAGTTCAGGAAGCTTCAGATTTGGGGAGGTATATGCAGTATATGGAGTGTATATTGTCATATCCCCAGTGGGGACAACATATTGGTATTTCTGCAGTGAAACAAATAATAACACAAATCTCCTTTCAGGTCAGGTTCTGTCCTTAAAGGAACTGAAATAAACTTCAGGTTTTCTAATTGCTTTGGATTTGGGGATCTCTGATATAGGACCGCACACCTGTTTACATATGGGGTCATCACATCTGGTCATGGAGGCTTTACAGAAACACTGTCTGGAGGTCCTAGTCACATAGACTTCGATGAGGATGGCGCCTGCAGACCTGTGCTCTGTGTAGAATGATCTGCCCCACAAACTCAGAATATCAGTATGTCCACATCTCCTTTATTGTTTTTAAGTAATTGCATGAGACCTCCTGACCCACATTACTGGAAAGTCTGCTTTTCTTTCTCAGAGCATCCCTTTCCTGAATTGTCCATGAGCTCTGTAGGTTTATTTAGTCCAAAAGAGATGGAGGGGGGGTGGTATCAGGACAAATTCTAAGGCTGGAAAGGGAAATAAGGCTGGGACAGAGTTCCTGGCAGGTCCCAGCCACTGTTGCTTCTCGTTGACACACAGCTCTGCTGCTGGGGTGGGTCCCCCACAGTCCATAGCCACTGGCGCACAGCTGCGGGGATGGCCTGGCAGCTCCACGTTCCTGCTCAGGTCCCCACGATGTCTCCGATTGGGCACCAAGGTAACAGTTTTCTTAAACATCCTCCCAGGCTTACCCTTTCTCCAGAAGGCACTCTGGTGGCAGGTGGCTGGGTGGAGAGAAGAGAACAGCTGTGCTCACACTCTGATCCCATCCTACAGATTTCTAGGTTCTTATGGAGAGTTTCAGTTACCAGCCTAGACTCCCATTTTCCTCAAAGTGATTTAGAGCCCTTACTACCTTTCTGAATGAATGGGCCTTGGTTCCTCTGGACAGATTCCCTTGACTCTGGGTCTTAGGGAACAAGGTTTAGGTCTTGTTTTGTCTTTCCCAGATGACACGGGAGCCTCATGCAAAAGGACCCCCTCTCTTCCCTGCCACCTGCTTGCCTCAGGGAAGGGCTGCCTTGACTGCACCACAATGATCTTATTTCCCACTCCTCTCTCCTTTTTCTCTTCCCCCAAGCAGTTTACTCTGTGATCTAGCAATTCTATTTCTGTATACATAGCCACAAGAATGGAAAGTAGGGTCTCAAAAAGATATTTGTAAACACATTTTCATGGCAGTATTACTCACAATAGCCAAAGGGTAGAAACAACCCTAGTGTCTACTGATCCATGAATGGGTAAACAAAATGTAGTATATCCACCCAATGGAATATTATTCAGCATTAAAAAGGAAGGGAATTCTGACACATGCCACGACATGGAGGAATCTTGAAGATTTGCTAAATAAAATAAGCCAGTCGCAAAAGGATAAATATTGTATGATCTCACTTATATGAAGTACTTAAGAGTAGTGAAATGTAGAGAGATTAGAGTAGAATGGTGGGGGTGGTAATGGAGAGTTATTGATTAACTATAATACAGCTGCTTCGAAGGGGTCAGGAGCCCCTTCCATCACAAGAGGCTTGACCTCTCAAGTTCCACACTCACTCACTTATTGCTTAGAGGAATGAAAGCAGCCCCACTTTGAGGTTCTAAGGAGAGAACATGAACCAGGCAGAGCAGCAGATCTGTCACTTACCAGCTCCGTGCCTCAACTTCTTGAGATCCTGCTTACTCCCGGCACTGTGTCTCTGAACCGTGCCCAAGTGGTCAGCAAATTTGTTAGAACAGTGGTTCTTAAAATGTTGTCCCTAGACCATTGCAGTAGCAGCACCTGGGAACTGATTTAAAAATGTGAAGTCTTTCCCCAAATCAAAAACTCTTCATTCAGCCCAGCAAGCTAGTCAAGCTCTCCAGGTGATTCTGCTCATTCAAATTGACTTTGATAAAAGAGGAAATTCATATGAGCCTTCCAAGAGATCAAGTATGTGTATACTTCCTGGTATGGTATTTGGCATGTAGTAGATGCTAAATAACCAAATGAATAAACAGTTCATTCATTCCTCTGCTCACCCACTCTCTACATATACAAACAAGACTGCTAGGAGAGATTGGAGGAATCTAGGATTGGATTAGACTTGAGTAAGAAAGAAAAGTGGTCCAAAGCTTGAAAGAGCACAATCATCTTAGGGAGTAGAAGAGAGGAGGAGATTTGGAAATCTCAGAAGCACCAGTTTATCAGTGAAGGAGATTTTATGTTTCTAGATTTTGGTAAAAGGAAATAGCCTTTGGCTCTAACTTCAGTATTTTGGTGCACAGCTTGGAGTCAGAGCTGCCAAAGTGGTTCTGCCCTCCTTGTTTTCCCACAGAAACCCACTCCAGCCTTCCTTGGCACATGCTGCCATCAAACACATTTTGCACAAGCTGGTGCCTTCAGTGGCTTTATGCCACTAGCTAAGTCCAGCTCTTCCATCCTGGTGGAGCCATCTCTACTCCTCTCCACTCCTCTTCCCCTGGAGTCTCTTCCTCACACCCTCACCCCAGACTTCTTCAGGCTCTTTCATCATGGTCCCATCTCTATCTTGGCTACAGAAGGAGCCCGAGTTACAGGCTATAGCTCTGATGACATTTTAAGAGTGATTTAGACATACAGAGGCAACTATTGGGATGCCTCAAGCAAGACATCTGGTAGTATCCAGATTCAGTTTCCCCTTTTTGAATAAAAGGGTTGTACCAGAAGTTTTCCAAATTTTCTTCCAGCCTTACTATTTTCAGCTCACAGCTGTACTGTTGTTCAATTGCACATGAACTAAGGCTCTACTCATTCAGAGGATGTTAACTTCAGGATTAGGGCTCAGTGGCAGGCCACCACACTGCTCCCTCAAGACAAACTCAGGTGTAGTTAAGTGAATTCAAGGACTGTGCGCATCTGGGCTGTGTGCTGGGACCTCTTGCTCCTGTGATCATGTGATGAAACAGAGAGAGAGAGAGGAAAAAAAAGTTGTTTCATATTTACATTTCTTTTTAAACCTTGCTTTATTGTAAGGCCACTCAGTGCCATTGAGACAACCCTAGTAGGCTGGAGGCAGAAAGGGTGGGGGGGCATCACTGGCTGGGAAGCTGGGAAGCAGCACCAACCACATTGGCCTTGAACCTGTCAGCTTTGCATATCAAAGCCTATATTACCTGTGATCTTGGTAAGACACTGGTGGCCATATCACATACCTGTTTGGAGCCTGTTTTTCTGAAGCACCAACTGGGGAGTAAGTTGCAAGGTTGCTGTGTGGCTAAAGGAGATACCCTATCTAAGCTACACGGTGCTCTGTAAACACGAGGGGTCCCTGCTGGCACTAGTTCCTTTCATCCTACAGCAAAATCATCACCACTGGGTACCATCCATCCCGGCACAAGCACAACGCCCCTGTCCATGGCTGACACAGGGCTGAGCCTCCCAGCCTTCTCCCTCAACCCCTGTAATCCAGAAATGAGGACACAGAGAAGTTGCAGGCTTTCACAGTGACCTCAGAGATCTCCCAGAAACAGCAAATGCCAGAAAGAATAAGACAGAAGTATTATAGGACACCCCAACTTTCCTAAGAAATGGCATAGAACACCCCATCTTTCCTAAGAAATGGAAAAGGAGCAGTTGGATGAGAAAAAAAATGAGGGGGAGAAGGGAAAAGGAAGACTCTAATATTGAAGGGGGAAAAAAAAGGCATTTGGAACTTTATCAAGCCCTAATGTTTTTACTTATTTTGCTAGTAATTTATATCCTGTCATATTTCAAAAAGGATTAGACATGGCAAACCAAGCCATAACCAATTTGCAGACCAATTTGAGACATCCCAGCCATCCAATGAATGAATCATTTAGTCCCAGTACAAGCCCTGCAGGAATAAGGCAGTGTGTGCCTTAAGGACCACCCCCCTTGCCTCACCTGGTCTCTGCCAAGAGGCAGGGCCATGTGCCCAGGGCAGCTGCTCACACACATGTCCCACAGCCATTTGGAGCACCTCAGAGGGATGCTCAGCAGATGCTGCTGGGCTCCAGCCAGGTGTGTCCAGCATTTTCACTAGTAAACATCTTTGCCACGAGCAGCTTTGCAACACAACTAATTGGCCGTAAGGCCATTTTGCCTTAAAAAAATAACTGCTTGACAGTTATATTACACTAGAAAATGATAACACATCAGTTTTTGCAAACTCTTGGTTGAATTCATCTAAGCCAGATTTCTTTAAAATTTTTCACCATTTTCCAAAAACTTCTACTCATCAGGAATCATGTAAAATTCTCTTTTGCGGGGAGGGATAGGAGGAGCTTGATTCTTCTTTTGCCTCCAACTTCTAACACTGCATAATAAATTTGGTAAAGATGGCCTGAGAGAACAAGCTGTCATATCTAAATTAGCTCAAGAATCCATCATTAATGTTCTTGAAGACTTTTGTGAATTAGTAGCTGCCTCTTCTATATTTTCGAAAGCTTGGCAAACTTTTGTTTTTGTTTTTCTTTTTTTGCAGGTTTTTTAAGCTTTATTTTATTGGAGTGTAGTTGCTTTACATATTGTGTTAGTTTCTGCTGTACACAAACTGAATCAGCGGCATGTATACACGTGTCCACTCTTTTTAAGATTTCCCTCCATTTAGGTGAACACAGAGCATTCAATAGAGTTCTCTGTGCTATGTGATAAATTCTCATTAGTTATCTATTTTATACATAGTAGTGTCCACACATTTAGTGTATATGTCAATCCCCTCCTTTCCCCCCTTGTAACTACAGATTTGAGCTATATATCTATGACTCTATTTCTGTTTTGCAAATAAGTTCATCTGTACCATTTCCCTAGATTCCACATATTAAACTTTTGGTTTTGATGGGTGAGAGGTAAGACTGCTCACAGAAGACTCTGTAAAAACTGATCTATTATTTACTGTAATGGAACTGCCACTAGTTATTTTATCTTTTATGGCAAAATGGCCTCATGCCCAACTAGTTGTGTGGCAAAAATGCTTTTGAAGAAACCGCTTGCAGCAAAGATATTTATGGGGAAAATACTTAGACCCCCAACCCCGGTACCCTCAGCCCCACTTACTCACCTGTTTTGTATTCTCTTCGGTGTAGATCGATTTGTCTCCAGTGGCTGTGGTTGCAGCCTTCTTCAGAGGTTCCCCGGGCTTCCTAAGCCACCGTGGCTGATTCTGCAGAGGGCCAGAGAACTGGGAATTTCCACCTCTCCACCTGTGGTAGGCTGGGGTGGGGGTCTGAACATCCAGCCTCCTGGCCTCAAAGCTGGACTAACGTGGAGGTATAGCTTAAACTCCCCACAGGATCCAGGCAATGTTCAGGTGCTTGGCTTCTTGCCCTCCTGTCCCGCTCTACCCCTCCTCACCTGTTTCACATGGGAGTACTCCCTTGCCCAGGAACCCTGACCTCGGGAGCCTGGGCTCCTTTTTCCTTCTAAGTTCCCTCTTGGAGAACTGCTCATAGTTTTTCAATCTTCTCCAGGTAAGACTGGGGACCATGCCATCCTTTTAGTTTCCGGCCAAGGGACTGTTATACACCTGCCCCCAATTGGACCCAGTTTCATTCCATGGACTACAGTCCATGGGGTCTCAAAGAGTTGGACACGACTGAGTGACTTTCACCTTTACTTTTTCTTTCACTTCAGAAATGCTAGTCAGTCAGCTTCAGACACTAATACTGTAAGGCAATGTCAACTCGGGGACAAGGGAGTCACTTGGGGTAAGCTATTTGGGACAGAGATGCTGACAAGGCGGCAGGGAGGAGCAGACATTTTAGTCCCTCAAGAGCAGTCCCTGAATCTCTGGAAGGATCCCTGACTCCTGTTGAGTCTCTTGCTTGAACTACTCCAAGAAGACCTCTGACTAGGCTACCATAGATGTTCAAGCCATAAATATCTCAAGCACTTCCCCATCAACTGATATCCCCACTGAAGCTAAGGATGTGAGACCCCTAAACGGGCCTGGGTTGCATTCTACCTGGACAAGCCCAGGGTGGGAACCTGAGGTGTAGTATAAGTGAGTAGGGCCCTGGAAGGCATAGGAGTGGCCAGTGTCTGGAGCTTAGGCTAAAGATGAGAGAGTGTGGAAATGAATTAAGGGGCCTCAGCTCCTAAAGAAGGCTGTGACCCCAGATGTCATACTTACACATGGGGATTCATTCATATTTTGGAACAGGTAATATTCAGTTTTTCAAGATACCATTGTCCCTTTAATTTATTAGCTTTCCATAAAAACACATACCATACACAATCTACAGTATAGAAAGTATAATTTACAAAAATATAAAATCTTGGTTATGTTTTAGTATTCCAACATATTGCTGTATAGGTTATTTCAATAAGCATGTTTAAACAATGCACACGCAACCAGCATGACTACCTCTGTGGGGGAATGGTGTCAACTCCCTCCTTTTTGTTTTAAAATATAATATATATTAAGAAAAAGAAACCAAAATTGGTTATATGTGCATACTGTATGTATAAAAGCATCTGCAGTGGATTTTGAGAGAAAACATCCATTTATATCATATTCCATATCTATTTTCCAGCATCACTCTGTGGCCCAAAGTGTTTTAAACTGATTATTTAAGCAGAGGTTCTTTCCATATGAAGGGAGTGAGCCCCTTCAAGTTTGTAGTCTTCTTTCCAGGTTATGAGATGACGGTCACAAGACCCAACATATGGATATATCTGGTTTTCAGGCTTTCAGAGCAGAGGGGATGGGCTGTGAGCAACCATCAGGTCAGGTTTAATTCCCAGATCCCTTTAAAGGATTCGAACTGGCATTGAGGAGGCTGAATCACCAGCAATGAAAGACCCCAGAACGATGCCCTGAGGTGACAGATGGTTGTCTGCGGGCTCTGCCCTATTTTTGCAGCTGCACCCTGAGTCAAGTGCTCACTCCAGAAGGTTCCCAGAATACTACCCTGCTGTGTGTGGGCAAGGCAGGCTCCTTCCACTCCAGAGCAGCTCATCTTACCGGCAGGCACAGGTCTCCACAGACATGTTGGGGTACACCTTCAGAACCACGTTCCGGTTCTCATCCAGGAAAAGGACCCCAAGAGAGCTCATCTTGTCGGGAACACAGCACGGCTCTGGGATGCCTGGGACGATGCCCACGGCCCTGACGATGCTCTGGATGGTGGCGTGGTTGGATGGGCGGACCATCTACAAGGGGGAAGGGAGTATGGTCACCTCCAAGCTCTGCCCGCCCCGAAGTCCTCACCCATCCACCATGCTGCCTGCATGTCCTTAACTGAGGACACAGAAAGGGTGATAAGGTGAAGAAGAAAAAGTGAGAAAGAAAACAAGATGAGATCCCAGGGCTGGGTATACATTTCCTCTGAAGTCACTTCCAGGCTGAGTCCTAGAGACCTTTGCAAAAGGTGTCCTCCCACCCCCTTCCCCCCAAACCTTGGGCTCCTAGAGGGAAGGTGTAACCGGGAAGGCACTGGTCACTTGGGGGCAGCTGCATGTCACACATCCCCAAGGAGCACCTGGAACTGGCAAGGTGCTCCAGGGGGAAAGCCAGGGAAAAGATTGGAGAATGCACCTCGGGCCACAGCTCCCAGACTTCATAGTCCAGGGACGACACACTTGCCACGTGACTGTGTTGTCCACGTAGGAGGGGAAGGCCTGCAGACACACGTGCATCATTGGGATGGGGCTGAAAACCCAGTTCCTGGGCGGGTCTGCCTGTGAGGTGTCAGGTGCTGCTTCACTGGCATTACCCCATTTTGTCCTCGTATCCATCTTATGGGGTGGGTATGATTCTAATTTTATTGGTGAAACAGGCTTAAAATGACTAAATGACCTGACCGAGAGCCCTCAGTTAGAAAGTAGTCTGGCCTGGAAACCACACTCGCTGGGCCCACTCCAGCTCTCTCCCCCTCCCTCTCCAGGCAGCCTCTCATATCCAGGAGTGTCTGGGTCCCAGCTGCAAACACAGAGAATGCCATTTTTCAAGCACCTCCCCTAAGAGGAACAGCACCATGTTACAGGTGCTTCAGCTCATTGTCGGCCAGAGTTTTACATGTCCTGTGCCTCTGGTGGGGAGGTGGGAGGTGGGAAGCGAGGCTGGGACGCCAGCATTTGGGGAGTTCAGACTGATGTCAGGGAAGGTGGGAAGACAGTGAGGCAGGCTAATAAGGTAAATGCTGGGTCAGCCAGCAGGGTCGGGGAGGGGGGCGGGGTTGCTGCCAGATACTCATTCTACATCTGCTGGGGCTGCATCCTTCCAGCAGACGCCTGTCTCTCTATCAGGCACCTCCCTTCCCCTCTCCTGCACATGCACAGCTTTGAGGAGAAGCCTCTTAATTCCCAAACAGGTTAATACGGCCCTATGTCTGGGTCTGGGATTTCCCCAGCTGACTGATTTATTTACGTTCACAGTGAATTTACGCACTGACTTCCTCTCTTGGAGGGGAAGGCATGACCTGGAGCTCAGTGGAGGAGCTAAGTAGGAGGAAAGTGTGTGCTCTGGGCCGAGGTTGACATCCTCTGGCAACCAGCCCACGACAGTTCAGGCTGTGGCGAGATGGATGGACAGAGCCATGGCCCAGCCCAGAGGGGAGGTGAGCATCTGAAAACCCAGGTCAGTACAATGGAGCAAACAGTCCCACGTGTGTCCTGCAGACTTGTGAATGATGAGAGCTAGTTGCCACGTGAGCCTCTGCCCTGAGTAGGGGAGGGGAGGGTGGAGACAGGGAGAGTCACACTGGGAAGCCACTGAGGCCAGCTCCGCTGGTTACAGACACCATGCCCTGAAATCCAAACCAAATTTCTAGAACAGTCTTGGCAAGCAAGGGGTTTAAGAGACCGGACCTGTGTGCGGGGGTGGGGGGAGGTGCCGTGGGGTAACGGCCAGTGTCCACGCAACCTCTGTGATTTTGCTGTGTGGAAACACACACCTAAAAGGATGGATCTCCTGCTCTGCAAAAGAAGAAAGGTTCTGATTTAAAATTCAAATCCTATGAAGGCAACACTTTCAAAAGGACAGCCAGAGAGCATCCATCTGTGGGTTGTATCCACCCAACAGGCTCTCATTTGGGCATCTCTGTCTAGCTATTCCCTGGCTCCAATAGATGGGAGGTGTTATTATCCCTATTTACAGACAGGAAACAGAGTGAGGAGGCAGAGGACTTGCCTGCAAGGGCAGAGCTGAGGGTGACAATGAGCAGAACACAGCAGGGGGACCCTGACACACCCTACCTTGGGCATGGGGAACTCGCAGGCTCCTGAGCAGTAGTAGGCGTCGAAAGACTTGGGTGAGATGATCCATTCATTCCACCCTATGTCCGCGAAGTCCACCTTCAGATACCTCCGGGAACAGACCCGTGGCTCATCCCATTGCTTCTTCCGGGCTTTCTGCATCGTCTTCTCGTCAAAGTCCAGCACCTGTGAGGAGGCCATGAACACATCCTGGCCCTTCTTCCTGCGGTCCTTGCGGCCTGGCCGTGGCTTCAGTGCACGGAAGGGGCTGGGCCACAGCTCGTGCTTGTGGTAGTGCTGGGCGTGAGGGGCATGTTCTGGCCTCTCATCCAGCCCAGGCAGCTCATTATTCTGGAGGGGCCCGGTGGCCTGCGTGGCCCGGCGCACTCGGGGGTCTGCTGAGCTGTTGGGGGCTGCACCAGGCTCTGGGTCCCCAGCCTGGAAGGGATCGTATCTCTGCAGTGTCACCGCCACGCTGTTGGGCTCTGAGATGGCCAGGTCATTGGCATAGATAAGAATGTAGGGTGCGTGAGGGCTGAGCCTGGGTACCCCCATGTCCTTCTCCCCAGAATCCAGCTGAGCAGACAGGAGCAGCTCGCCATCCCGGCGGGCCGCCTTGACAATGAGGGAGATGTCCTTGGCCTGCCACAGGCCTCGTGGCGGGGGCGGCAGGGCCATGGCCCCACGGAGCAGCCCCTGAGTAGCCGTGTTCTGCGAGAGGCTGCGGAAGAGCAAGTGCTGGCGTGCGGGTGGGCCAGGGGGCAGCAGGCGGCAGGATGCATTCTTGGCCCGCTGTTTGCAGGGTACTTCACGCGCCGGGGGCCACCGTGGTTCTGAGTAGAAGTGGAATGTGGCCGTCAGAATCATTTCTGAATCTTGCATGGAAGTCAGGTTGAAGAAATACACGGCCTTCTGGTTGACCACTTCTGTGAGGGAAGGACAGACCACATCCTGTTAGGTTGTCCCCTGGGTAGGCTCCACGTTCACAAGGTCTTCCCCCTCAAGTTATGGAGGAGGAATGCCTATTGATGGGAGCACTTCCAGGCTAGCCAGGCTTTCCTCATCCCCTGTAATTCTCACATTGAACTGATGAGGGCACCCTTTGCTATTTTCAGTGACCAGATGAGTATAAGGGATTAAGGTCAGAGAGGTTAGGGATTGTCCACATCCCATTACAAAGAAAGGAAGAAAAAAAAAGCCGGCAGACAGGGTTAATGCTCCGGGTTGCTGCACCCTGAAGCTCCCATTCCCACCCCTGCCCTCTGATGCCCCTCAAACAAGTGTTCCCCACCTCCTTCATTCATGAGACAAGGTGGAATGAGGTATCTGGGATAGCTTGGGTTGGATCCAAGCCCTGCTGATTGTAGTGCCACCCTCAACCCCGCCACCTCTGTATTTGCACAGCCCTCTATTTTACAGACATTAAATGCAGTCCTTTGTCCAAATGAGGCAAATTAAGTAGCATGCCTCACACTGTACCAGCACTCTGAGTGGCTTCTGAAAAAAACTGAACTTAAGAACACAGCCATTTGGGTATCTGCTATTTATTCTGCCCAAGGCCTTTTAAACTTGTTTTACAAAGAGAGAGCACTATCAGGGTTGTATCAGGTCACTCAGTAGAACCTCCAACATCAGGTTGCTCTCCAGAGGCCAGAACCATGATAGGGACCAGGATCCCTCCAACACATCTGGGGTTGACTTGCACAAGTTCACCAACAAAGCAGCCCCACCCTTCAAGCTGGGAAAGACCCTAGGAATCAGGCTTCCAGGCCCTAATGGTACAACACCTTGCTCATCTGCCTCAGAGGGACCTAGAATCTCTGTCTCACCTGAATGCTTGGAGGATTAAATAAATAACATATATAAGGTGCCAGGCACAAAGGAGGAATTCCCCCAAATGTGCTTCTACACCACTTTTACCTAAATGACCCAAGCTGGCAGAGGAAGTGCCTCCTACACCAGTGCAGGCCCCTCTCACTCAATGGTCCAGCTAACACAGCTGAGAAAGTATCCAATTCAGGTCAACTCTGTTATTCTGCTAACAGGTTCTTTGCTGGAGAACACTTAAGAAGGTTGAGAGTAGACATTTCTGACTCTTTCCAAAGAGCTGGCTCTTTACAGCAGGAGGCAAGCATCTCTGGCCTGGAAATCTGCAGTTCATGATGAGAAGGAAAACAGCAGACTGGGGGGAACCAAGATGGGACTTCCTAGAGGAAAGCATCTTGGCTCCCCTTCCAGTGACAAAGTAGTGAGCAAGAGAGGGACTAAAGAAGTATAACTGTGACCACCAAGGTCAGGACAGCAACCTCGGCTTGAGGTGTGTATGACCAGATGAAGGTGCTGGGAGGACTGTCCCCTGGGTGGCAAGATGTGATATAGAGGAGCAGAGTGTGGCCTGCCCTGGAGGTTATTTCTGCATGGGGTACAGGAGGGGAATGGTACATGCTGCCCCTCCCTTAGGATGGAGAACCAAGGAGAGCATGCTCAGGAACTCAGAGAGGGAGGAATCTTAGCAGTCAGGCAGCCTGATCAATTACCCTCAGGGCAGGCAGGAGTCCTTCCTCCATTTGGCATGAATGCCTTTGGCCATAGGCATCTTTGCCTTCCCTAGGCAGCCTGCTACATGAAGACCCTCCCCGCTGGGAATTGTGTGGAAGGGTAACCCCCAAGCCTCCAGTGGCTTGAAGGGCCACAGACTGGCCCAGCTCTGACTGTGCCTGCATCCCTACATTGCAGGGAACTCCAGACTGTGACTGAGAGAAAGGCCACCTACCTGAAGTCTCCTAGCTTGGATTAGCCCTGGCTAGAAAGGAGAATCCCCAAAGAGAAGTCCCTGTTTCCTGTGAGCCATGCTGGTGCCTGTGGCTTCCGTCTCATGGTAGCTAGAAAAGATCCTTCCTTCCTCCTTCCTATGATTCCTCTCTCCATTCCTGCACCCTCCCCTGCCTCCCTCTCTTTTCCAGATAATTATTTGGGATACTCCTACTTTAGGCCAAGTGTTGGGCCAATCAGGATCCTGGCAAAAGTGGTCAGAGGTACTCAGGGGAGTTCATTCCAGGCATGGCATTCATTCCAGACAGATGGCAATGGTTGGGAGCGGCTGCAGTGCCTGTCACAGCTTCACAGGACACTGTCCACATGAGGCCCCCCGTGGGCTGGGTGTTCTCAGCATCAGGTCACCATCCTGCTCAGAGCCCTCCATAGCGCCCCCTCAAAAAAAACTCAACCTCTTACCAAGGCCCTATGATCTGGCCTGCCTACCTCCCCAACTCCATCTGCCCTCCACACCCCCATCTCTGCCCCAGTCACCCTGGCTTCCTCTCCTTCCACACATGAAGCTCCCATCTCAGGGCTTTCTCCCAGCTATTCCTTCTGCCATTATCGGTTCTGCCACAGGAATCACAGTGCCTCTCTCCTTCAGGGCTCCGCTCAAGCAGCATCCCTAACAAAGGGGGCCACTGGTTTCCCTGACTGGAGGAGCAGCCACATCACTTTGTCTGTCCTGGGCTTCATTCTTCACATCACTTTGGGACATGCTGATATATATTTCATTGTAACTTTTTCTCTTTCCCCCTAGATCACAACGTTCAAGAAGGCAGGGCTTTGTCAGCTGAGTACACTGCTGTATCTCTAGATCTCAGTGCAAAGCCTAAGTGATTGTCACTGCTCAGAAATGCATGCTGAATGGTAGGGTAGGGAGGGGTCTCTGCTAGATCAATCTGCTTCACTGAACAAAAAGGGTTCCTGGCCTGCTGCCCTGGGGCTCAGCAAACATCCTGAAAGAAGTCCAGAAAGTCTCTTTCTTTGGAAAAACACAGCCAATTATGCAAATTCAGCTGGAGGCACTGCATGGCAGGACATTTGTCCAGTTACTTCCCTTTGAGCCTTAGTTTTCTCATCTTTAAAATGGGAATAATATTGTTTGCCAGTCAGGAAACTGAAAGTTCCAAGTATATATGCAGGCTTGATTCCTTGTGTTCATAATCAGGGCAGCAGAGATGGAAAATGGACAAAACAAAAACATGGAGCTTCAGAGAGGGTACATGACTACATAACTTGCCTAAAGTCCTCCAGTTGGTAAGGGGTAGAGTCAGAGTGTGCTTCCAGGCCTGTCTGACCCCAAGCCTACGCGCTTCCCCATCCTCCCTAACTAGGTACCTTGGATAGAATCTGGGTCTGCCTAACAGCTAATTAACAAAGGTCATGTGCTGTGAAATCTTAAATATTTTGCAAACACAAGTCATTACTTGGATGATTTTGCATTCTGACTATCCAGGAAAGAAAGGACCTGATTTAGACAAGTTGATCTCTCTATGGATCTTTGGAAGTCTTAGAACCTTAATCAGGTCCACTCTAGTGGGCACTCAACCTCCTCCTGACTTGCTAGGGATGGGACTGGAGGGGAAAGAGACAGGGAAAGGGCTCTAGCCCAGTGGTTGCTCCAGGCTCCCTCCTGGCCAAGAGGACCCTCAGACTGCTCTGCTAAATAGAAACAGAATCCACTTGGAGATCTGTCCCTTCACCTATTGCCCCTGAAACATCCATCAGGGAGACTAGCATGAGAACACCAGACTGAAGATGCAAGCACCAACATAATCAGCTGGAATAAGGTAGCTGTGGGCCAGGCAGTGGTGGTGCAGAGAAGCAAAGAGAACTAATATGTACTGAGCATTTATTTCTAGGCAGGCTCCAGAGTCAGGATGTAAACCCTGCTTCATCACTTACTAGCTGTGGGGTCTTAGGCAAGTCACACAACCTCTCTATGCCTCAGTCCTAGGCAGAATATGTGTGCATGCTTCCTGCACACTCTCACCAAGGTGTCTGGCACGCAGCACGTGCTTAGAACACAAGGTCATTTGGTTTCACAAGCTTCTGCTACATTTAGGACCCCACACCTCTGACCACTGTCCTTGTGCCCAACAGGAGGCATTGCCACCTGTCCACTCTCTCCACCTGGACCCTGAGAATTTTCACAGCCTCTTTCCCTTCCTGCATCCAACCAATCCCAGTTGCTGCATCTTGTTTCTCCACAACCACCCTGAACTCTGCATCTTTCCACCACTGTCTTTGCCTATAACCTGACCTCGAATGCCAGTCTGACCCCAGCACACTGTCACCCTCACACCCACACTCACCCTTCACAAGGAAATCATCTATCACAGATGAAGAGTCAATATTCTTCACAACCTCTATACATCACTAAGAAAAAGACAAGAACCCCAAGTGGATGAAGTGATTTCCATAGGAAAATTTGCAAGTGGCCAAAAAGCATAAAAAAACAATTCAGGATGACCAGTAATGAAAAAGCACCCTGGTACCTTCAAATAAGAATGAAAATATGGCAAGTTTTACATGCATGTTGAAAATATAATCCCATTAGGATAAAAACTATATGTAATATTCCACAAAATACTAACTCTGGTTATATCTGGGTTGTTATTGGGGATAATTTATTTTCCTTACTATGATTTTCCATGATTTTTGCATAGTATGCATTACTCTCATAATCTCTCCCCTCTCCTGTTCTCTTCTCCACCCCCCACTCCCACACATACACTCTACACTGCCCTACTGCCTATAGGCAAATTCATCACACTCAAAGCTCTTGATGGCCTTGATGGACCACTGATCCACTTCCATTTCTCAACTCTCTCCTCCTGTTATTTCCTCATTGAAACCAAACTCCTCAGAGGTCCTGGTGCATGGGGGTATGCCTCACTTCCATACCTGGCTAACACCCTCTGCTCTTCAGAATCTGTCCGGTGCTTCCCCTGCTCTGTGGAGGCTTCACCAGACCTTCCCCATCAGCCCTTCCCCTGCTGGGTGAGTGCTGTCCCTTGGGGCTCCTGAAGCCCATCCCCAGCCCTTTCTTACTCCATTGTTCTACTTGTCCCGCTGCTCACATTCTTCTGTTTACTTCTTCCTTCTCGACCAGCTTGTGAGCTTTTATGGAAAGGGCTAATAGTCTTTGTTTCTTTGTGTCCTTTGAGCTTACAGCATCTGCCACTGAATGAGGTGCTCAGGAAAGACTTCGGCAACTGAATGTGACTTTTCACATTATTGATAGATGGGTATGTACCATTACTTGCATTTTAGAGATGACACCAACCTCAGAGAGTTTAAGTAACTTGCCCAATATCCTATGGGTAGGTGGAAAGACCTAGACTTAAATGCAGATCGTTTGGGGCTGGAGGTGTCTAACCTTTAACCTTTATGGTCAGGTTCAGAAGCTCTCTCCATTGATGTGGACTTGTAGGGAACAAGACATACTTGGGAGCAAAGGAAGGGAGGGAAGGAGCGAAGTGGTTGGAGTAATAATAGTAGAGCTAATACACTACTGAACTTACACATGCCAGGCGGTGTTAAGCACTGGAATTATTGCAATTCATTTGAAAAGCCCTATAAGGAAAAAAAAAAAAAAAGAAAAGCCCTATAAGGAAGAGAGCATGATTAGCTCCACTTTAAAAGTGACAAAACTGAATCATGGACAAGTTCAGTCCCTGGCCCAGGTCACAGATTCAGGATTTGGTCCAGCTCCCAGCCTGCACTTGGAATCTGAGCTGTGCTGTCTGTTGGCAGGCAGAGGACATGGTTCCACTGCAACGCGGGCTGCGGGGACCACCCCATTGAGACAGCAGAGGCCACCATCCTGGAGCAGGCTGGTACTGACACGATCCAGAGCTGAAGCCCTTACATCTGTGCCTCATTCATCAAATAAGGAGTCCTTCCCAGGCTCACACCTCCTCACAGCAAGGTCACTGGGCATGAAGCAGGCACCTCTGAGGGCTGCCCAGGAGCTGGGTACGAACCAACTTAAGGCAATCAAGGGAGGGGATGAGAAACCAAGCTTCCTGAGTCAGACACAAAATTTAGTTCATCCCACTGAATCTTCACCTTGCCTCTACGTGCAAAGAAATCAGTGCTCAGAGAGGTATGTGCTACAGCACACAACCAGTAGCTGGTGGAGCTGGGACTTGTACCCATGGCTGCCAAATTGTTCTAAAGAAGAGTGCTGGATTTATCAGAAAGTCCAAGACTGGTCCAGAATAATTCTGATCTACCTAACAGAGTAATTCTGTTTCACCCTCTGTCTTCTACATCCTGGGCTCAGTTTTGATGGAAGTTTGGAGAGGGGCTAGCAGTGCAAACAGCCTGATCCTGACAAATAGACAGTGCCAATAATTGCCACTGTGAACAGTTTCGCCTGCCCTGGCCTGAGTTTCTTTATCTGTAAAATCAGAGGGCTGGATCTGAATACTGCCACCATGTTCTTTTAGGGCTAACTGTTGCTTCACTGCTACTTGTACCCCCAGTCTATGAAAACAGGAGAACAGATTGTGCACCTTCATGCCTGGGCCTGTAGAGCCAAGTGGGCTCCGTGGGCATATTCACCCCTTATTGCAGCAGTAACCTTGCCAGCCTTGTTTTCCTCAGCTGCAAGGCTTTGGGGACTGAATTAGTGGATGCCAGGTCAAGTCTACATCTCTGTGAGTGCACATGTTTTGTATATGAGGAAACACAATGTAACAGCACCTAACCCAGACAGTGCTGGGCTTAGGGTTTACACATATCATTTCATGTCATCTTTCCTGCAACTCCACAGGGAAGATACTGCCACGACCTGCCAACTTTGCAGATGCGTACACTCAAGTCCGCAGAGCTTCATTTCAGCCATTTGCCCAAGGTCACAGTCATGCTAGATGAATCTTGAGTGACTTAATAATAATACTCCAGAAATGTGCCCCAAGATGTGACTAAAGGCACCAGGGAGGATGGAGTTAGATCTGGTTAGCTTGGAACCCAGGAACACTGACCTAGTGAGCCTGTCCAGTAGGGGATGGGGGTGGGGGAGGGGCCTCTCTGTGGCAGGAGTTCCCAGTATACATTTATGGGAGACCAAGCTTCTGGAATTTGGCTCTGTGGTCGTGGGTGTGTTACCCCAAGCCACACAGCCAGTGATCAACAGGGAGGTGGCAGATCTGACCCCAGGCTGTCTGGCTGCCCAATGTTGGGCTTGTTCCCCTCTACCTCAAAAGGGGGCCTTACAGATCAATGATCTTTCTCCTGATGAATGGCCTCCTCCTTCACAAGGGCTGCAGGGAACCCCTACCCACATTTTCTGCGATGGCATTCTGAGACCATGGGTAATCTCCATGACAACGAGGGTCTTCCCTCAGCCCCTGCCACCAGGCTGCCCCTCTCTCCTCTGCTCATTCAGGGCCTGCAGAGGTAGCCCAGGCTGGGTGGGCAGTCACTGGAGGCTGGATACTGAAGAGCTCTTGGAAGCAGGGCAGGTAGGGGTCTGCAAATGATCTCTGTCCAGCTTCATCCAGGGTGTGGGAAGAGGGGAAAGGATCTGCCCAGGAGGGGCAAGAGCAGGAGAGAAAAGGGGAACCCCCCCCGCTGCCCAAGCTTCTAGACCTTTCCTCAAACCACCATGGTTGAACACTTCATGCCAGCGCTCAGCAGACTTCAGTCCCATGTACCCCAGGCTGGGCACTCAAGGCCACCCTGCCTCCCCAACCCCATACCCACTAAATGCCCCAACTACATGCGCCTGGGCCCAGTGCTGCACTTCCTTCAGGGCTGCATTATACCCACCTGATGGGCTCTCCTCAGCGCCTGCCTCATCTGTCAAGAGCCCACATAACTAAACCCTGCTACATGGAGCCCCCGACCCCCACCCTCACCCTCTACCCACACACACAGACCCTGAGCTCCGCCAGCCCAGTGCCATCTTCATCCTGTGCTTAAAGCCTTGTGGGTGGGGTGGTCTGTGTCCGGCAAGTTTTCCACTTTCGCAGGCTTAGTGGTACCCCAGGGGCAGGAAATTTGTCACTCTGTGTCACTTTGGCGTTCCCACTGGAGGCTCAGGGCCTGGCATAGAGTGCTGGGGGCACAGAGGGGCGAGGAGGGGGAAGATGGCATAGTTAATGAAAGAATGAATGAACTAGTCAATGAACAGAAAGAAGTGGAAATGCAAAGGTGCAGAGATGTGAGAGGATGGACAAGTGAGGAGGACCGGGGGGGAGGGGGCGAGAAGGGGTGTGGGGGTTCCCCTCTACTTACCCAGCCGGGCACGGAAACTGCGGACCGTGTTGCCCCCTCCCGGCCTCGCGCCCCTTCGGCTGTATTTCTCATAAAGCCGGAGCATGTGGACAGCGACCATGTCCTGGGCGCCTGGGTTCTGAGCAGCGACCACGTCTCCTGGAGACCTCTGGGGGTTCTTGTCCCCTGCAAGGCCGTCGGCGGCCGCGGGCGGGGCAGGCCGAGCGGCGGCCGTGTGGCTGCCGTCCGCGTCCCGGAGCAGCAGCAGCAGCAGTAGTAGCGACAGAAGCGGCAGCTGTTGGGACCCGGGTCGCAGGCTGGTCCGAGCGGGGCCACGAGCCATGATGGGTGGCGGAGGCGAAGGGGCCAAAGCCTCCGGGGAGGAGAAGAAAGGAGATCGAGGACGCACAGGAGGCTGAGAACAGACCCGGCGGCAGGAGGGCACGTTGACTGCACACGCAGGCGGGGGCTCGGGATGCCGAAATCCGCGCGGGGCGCGGGGCAGAGCGGGGCGCACACCCGGGCGCACGGTAAGGCCAGCGGTCACGGCAATCCGGAGCCACGCAGAGCCGAGCCGAGCCCAAGCCTGCGCGCTGCCTTGGCGGACTGAAGGCAAAAGTTTGCAGCCCCAGGCGCGCTCGGCTCGGCGGGTTCGAGGGGCGGGGCGGGGCGGGGCGGCCGGCGGAGCCCTAGAGGGAGACCCGGCTGAACGCCCGGGACCACTCCGGGCCGCCGCCGACACGGCAATCCCTGGTCCGACGCGGTGTGCGTACGCCCGAGTGTGGCGGCGCGCGCGCGCAGGGGTGTGCGCCCGAGTGTGCGCCCAAAATGTAGGGGGCGTGGGCGTAGGCAGGCGCGCTCGTCGCTCCCCTGCGGAGATCCGGAGACCCGGGGACCCAGCCCGGCTCCTGTGTGTCGGCGCCTTGGCCTGGCCTGGACTGCGCGAGGGCTGGGAGGCATTTAGAGGGGGGCCCTCCTGCCGGGTTGCCCCTGCAATGGCATGTGATGATTGTGGTTGCAAGATGACAGCTCCCCCGTGAGGAACCGAGGCGGGGGTGGGGGTGGGGGGGAGGGGGATGTGTGTGCGCCCAGTTGTCTCTGAGCCAGTGTGCGTCCAAAATGCAAAAGTGAGGGGAACACAAACCCTCCCTGGGCATCCTTTGAAAAGAAAAACCTTAACACTAAAGCTCAACCAACCTAGGGTAACTGAAACAAGATTCTGATTAAAATTCATAATTAGTAGATTAACTGACCCTTTTTTTGGCAACAGTAATTCCTGTTGAAGAAACACATCAAAGGTGCTTATTAATCTTTGGACATCAGGCTTGTCCTGAAAAAAGGACATGGTTTTAAATTGTTTTACAAAACGTCTCCGGAGCTTCAGGACAGGAGAAGAAAAAATTTGACTTTCCCAAGAAAGTTTCACAGTGAGGGTACAGTGAATCCTGGCCCATCTCTCAGTTTAGCCCTAGGGCAGTAGGTCCTGAACTTCATCTTGCTTTTAGCTGGATTTCTTGTCCATAGATAAAATTTTAGGGCATCTGTGAACTTGGATGGAAAAAGCTTACATCTGTATTTTCACTAACCTGTACCTGAAACTTGTGTGTGTGTGTGTGTGTGTTAGTCCCTCAGTCATGTCTGACTCTTTGCAACCCCGTGGACAGTTGTCCACTAGGCTCCTCTGTTGGTGGAATTCTCCAGCCAAGAATACTGGAGTGGATTGCCATTCTCTTCTCCACGGGATCTTCCTGACCCAGGGATCAAACTTGGGTGTCCTGCATTTCAGGCAGATTCTTCACCAACTGAGCCACGGGAGAAGCTTGAAACTTAGCATTCCGTATATAAAAAACCCAGGTAAACACAACTATAATGGTATTAACCCTACCTGTGATTTTGTCTCCAGTGGCCACCAACCATAGATATTTTCATATCACATTTTCTTATCATGTTTTCAGATTTCTCAAAATTATCACTCTTGCTCATCACTATTCTGAAATTAAATTAATTCTGCTATTTACTTAATGAATTCATTAAAAGACATGTATACTATGTTGCAAAGTTGTTTTAAAAAACATTTTGATAGCTCTATTTGAATGTGACTGGCTTCTTCTGTAACCCTGCATAGTAACAACAGTCTTTTGAGAAAGGGTCTATGGGCTTCTTTGGACCGAACTGGGAGTTCAAGGCCCACACAGAAGTTTAGGAGCCCTTCTGAGGGAAGGAAAGGACCTCTTCAAACTCATATTCTTCCAGCAAGGTCCAGGATGCTAACCATACTACATTTTAAAGGACTATCTGCAAACTTGCAAACATGCTGTTCCCATTCCTTGGTAACTCTGGTTTTCGTAAGCCAAAATAGTTAACTTTTCTTGGAGGGCTCACATTCAATAATTGAAAAATTGCTGGAGAAAGCTTCCATTTGGTGTGTAAAGCACAACCCATTTGTAATTTTTCAAAATCTTGTAGTGTCAAATAAGAGGCCATCCCATTGAAAGCCTTGGAAACTTTGGCCTATAGCTTTTGGAAAAATGATAGAGAAGCATTTTATTCCTTTTGATAGTTCACACACTTCATGTTCAACTTCCCATTAGTATAGCTCCCATTCGTCCAATGAAACTGTTTTCGAAAGCGATTTGCTTGAAGGCAAGGTGACCAGTCACAGTCTTGGACTTGATGAATCTCTTCTCATAAATGATCCACACCAACTTTTACTACTCCATTCTCCCACCCCCATCCTCACTTCCCTCTTTCTCCGTGTGCCCCTTACTTCCCCTCCCTCCCCCTTCTCCCCTTCTCCCCCAGAATGCCTCTGACCTATACCGGCTGGGGGTAACCTCTGCTCATGGGTAGTTTTGTCTCTGCTGGGGCCATACACAATCGAGGCCTGTGAAAAGGAGGGTGAGTCCGCAGGAGGCCGGGACAAGCTGGGCTATTCGGGGTCTGTGTCCATTAAAGCCTCCTTGCTCTCCTTAACTCATTCCCGCTCCATTCAAGCCAGCCTGAGGGTCAGGCTTTAGGCGGCACTAAAACCTGTAGGGTCCAGATTCTCTGACATTGTTGGGAAAGAATTAAGGCATCAGCCGGGGACGGCTAATATTTCTTGCCTCATTTTATTGCCGAACAGCGGGACTGTAAAGTCTTGAACACTGGAGCACTATGGCCCCCTTTCATGTAGCCGAGATGATGGGATAAAAATGTGTTTGGTGAAGCAATTCAGATTACCACCGGGTCACATCCTCGCTGGCTCCCAGCATCGCCTGCAAACAGCATCACTGAAACAAGAAACAATTACTGTGCAACTTCAGCTCAGGCACAACAGTGTTCCTAGCGTGGAAATGAGGCTAATTGTGGAGCTTGCCAATGAGAATGTTTGGTTTTTAATAGCTCAGGCTGCAGCTCAAAATAAGAGTTGAGATGGCGGATGGTACATACAAGTCGCCAGAGCTGTGATTTCTTGCAGCTTGTTACTAAAATGGTCCCAATCCTGGGAGCATCCAATGCTATTTTTATCAAGGGCTCTGAAGTCTTGAACTTACCACTGGGGATAAAAAATATTCTCTCTTGGGTGGTGAGAGATTGTTTGGGGCCCCTGTGTCTCCCAGGCCTATCTGCCACATATTTCTGGGATAGCAGAGTTTTCTTAGGCTCAGAAAACCCTGAGGCTCCATAGTTATAAAGCTCTACACTTGAATGAAGGAGAAATCAAACTCTGGACAGTTGGGGAAGCAGGCTCATTTGGTTTCATACGGAACCTCATCCCAAATAAACCCGAAGGAAACGTGCTTGAGCAGTTGTTTCATGATGTTGTCCAGTTACCTTGTGGGAGAATCAGTTTGTGGCTCTAATTATCTCTGCCACCTAGGGACAGCCCTATCATCTCTTTGGAACTCCGGGTGCTTCCTGTTTAAACGAGAAGGCCACAACACGTTATGCCTGAGCCTACAGCCTCATGTCAACTCACTCTTGGAAATGAGAGCATCTCCATGACCTTTTAGAGTCAATTGAGATAAGGTTCATAGCCCTATTTTCAACCCTTTCTTATTGTATGGCCTTAAGCAAGTTACTTGTCTCCTCTGGGCCTTGCTTTCTTCAACTCTAAAATGGGGGCAAAAGTAGGCTATTAGGATTATCATCATTAAGGTTTTAACATGAGGTGTTACTAAATAGCATTGATCCTTATTAACTACTCTTTTTGTTTATCATGTGTTTCAAAGAGGTTGTAGCCTGTTTAAAAAGGCTCCAGATTCTGGGAGATCTGATGAGAAGTTCAGCCTGCTCATTCCTTGTTCTGCAGAGGAAATGTATTTCTTAGTGCACAGTGCCAAGAGCTGAAAAGATAAAGAAAAAGAGAGAATGTTTCCTTGTTTAGGAAGTCATAGACTTCAACTAATGTGCCTTTATCATCAGTATCTGTGGGTCTTCATCCAAGGATAGGGTGAATGATTCATACCTCTTCCTCTAGATTTCCTAAGCTCTTGGCCCTTAGGACAAAAGAAATGTGAGCAAATCCCTCTTCCCATTTGGGGCATGAGCTGTGAAAAGGCGGCTGAAGGGTTTGCTGGGACGCTAGAGACAAGAATCCCAGGGCCTCCCCCAGGCCGCCAGGCCCGAGTGTAATAAATCTGTGAAATAACAAGCACAAAAGACTTTATAATCAATGACAGATTTTATTTTTGCTCTGGCAAAATCCATCCATGGAGTTAACGTTTTATAGGGAAATAACTACCCACTTTGTGACTCCTCCTCAGCCCATATTCTCTTTCTGAAAGTTGGGAAAAACTCAGAGAATCAAAGTCAGCTCCTCGGAGAACCGTGGCAGGAGAAAGCATGACTTTCCCCGGGCGGGAACCCAACTCTCCCGTTACTTCCTAGGGTGGCTCAGGCCATTCATTTCTGTTTTGCTAAAATACCCGTGACATGTGAATAAACCAGGATTACAGAACATTGTCTCCGCCAGTAATCTGAGCCGGCATGGGCTCTGGTTTGATGAAATATGGTGCTCTCTGAGCAAACATGGGAATTGGTATTACTTCTCGTTAAAGCTGAACAGTGGGACTATTTAGAGCTGATGCATGAATGCTGCACTGTGGGGAGTGACAATTTGAAGGGAGCCGATTTGAAGGAAGGGGGGGTGGTGTG